AATCTGCTGCAAAAGGCTTCTTTAAAATGTTAAAAAGCAAAGATGTCACCTTGAGGACTAAGGTGTGCCTGACCCAAGCCATGGTGTTTTCAATTGCCTCATATGCATGTAAAAGCTGTACAATGAATAAGGACAACCGAAGAAGAATCGATGCCTTTGAATTGTAGTGCTGGCGAAGAATACTGAATATACCATGGAAGCCAGAAGAATGAACAAATCCGTCTTGGAAGTATTACAGCCAGCATGCTCCTTACAAGTGAGCATGGCGAGACTTTGTCTCACGTACTTTGGACATTTTATCAGGAGGGACCAGTCTCTGGAGAAGGACACTGTGTGTGGTAAAGTACATGGTCAGTGAAAAGAAGAAGACCCTCGACGAGATGGATTGATACAGAGGCTGCAACAATGGGCTCAAACATAGAATGATTACGAGAATGGTGCAGAACTGGGCAGTGTTTGGTTCTGCTGTACACAGGGTTGCTATGAGTCGGAAATGACTTGACGGCAAGTAACAACAACAACAGAACAAAGAAGCTTTCACTAAATTTGATTAAGGTAAATTTAGTACAAATAGAAAATATAATTTTGTAATCATTGCCACAAAAAGGTGTATAGCTAAAAATATGAACAGTTTAAATACAAGGTCTAGCTAAATTCAAGACTATTTGGAAAACTACTCCTAATCTTTTGATGTTAGATGGAAAAAAAAAATCTTCTCAAACAAGGAGTCCTTTGGTCAAGTGTCAGACATGAAAAGCGGGAACAAGTGTTATTTCTCATCTTTATACCATTCAGTAGATACCTCTGAGTAGCCTGTCTGCTATTCACAAAACAATTTGGAAAGTGTTATCTGAATGACTTAGATTCAAATTAACATCTTATACAGGGCTTCTGTCAGAAATGATTAATTATTGGATGTTGTACTTCTTATTGCTCATTTTAAAGTCTTCAAATTCTTATTTCAATTGTTTTTTCCATACTCAGACACCCAGATGTTTAAGGTCCAGTAATTACATTACTTTTGATGCTGCAGAGAAGACGACACAAAAATTAGTGACCTAAAAATGACCAAAGAGACACCTACAAGTGAACCGTAGCATCTATGCCTAAGCAGTTACAGTACATGAAAAAGTACCTTGTGTAACTTATTTTGAGTTTTAAATGTAGTACCTCAAATTATCTAAAATATCAGCAGTGATTTTTAAACCCAAAATATTCAACTTTAAGCAAAATGTTTTTTTTACCCCAAAACACCTATGAACTAAATTATGCTATGTAAAATGATTACCCTGTAAGAAGTATGCGAAAGACATGTTAAAAGAGCCCAACTAGATGGGTAAGAGGTTTAATTTGCCCTCCCTCAAATTCCTCTGATTAAAAAACTGATAGATCTTCCCTGTAGAAAATCTGGAAGTTAAAAAATGTATAAAATAAAAATTTACCTTAATCCTATCTCACAGAGAAACATGTTAATAATTTGGTGATTAATGAACAGACTTTTAAATTTTACTATAGCGCACAAATAGTTTTATGACTCAATTTTTAAAACATGATTCAGTGAGCATTTTCCCATATCAAAACTTGATTTTCAATGCCTGCATAGAATTTTCTTTCCAATATTTGTTATGAAAAATTTCAAACATATAGAAGGGTTGAAAAAATTTTACGGGGAAAACATCTGTATATCCATCGTCTAGATGTTACCATTAACATTTTCCATACATGCTTTATCTATCTACCCATCTATTTATCCCTCTCTCTTTCCAACAAGGAGCCCTGGCGGCACCACAGTTAAGTGCTTGGCTGCTAACTGAAAGGCATTACGAACCCACCTAGTAGCTCCGCGGGACAAAAGACTTGGCAATCTACTCCCTGAAGATTACAGCCTAGAAAACGCTATGCGACAGTTCTACTCTGTTACATTGGTCATACTATGAGTCAAAAATTGACTCGAAGGCACCTAACAACATCCATCTAACAATTCACCTTATGCTTCTGACACATTTCAATGTAAATTTCAGACATCTGTACACTTCTTCAAGGAGCCCTGGTGGTGCAGTGGTTAAACTAATGAAGACTTCGGTAGTTCTAATCCACCAGCCACTCTGCAGGGGAAAAGACCTGGTGATCTGCTTCTGTAAAGATTACATACAGCCTTGGAAACCCTATGGGGCTGAGTTGGAATCAACTTGAGGGCAGTGGGTACACTTCTTCTTAAATAGTTCATCTTGCATAACATTCATTAGATTTCAATATTTGTTCACTGATTTTTCCTTCTGATGAAAATTTTGCATACAGCGAAATGCTCAATCCTTCCACCTGTATACACCAAACCACTATCAACATACAGAAAGTGACCAAAAGTTCACTCCAGCCCCTTTCCAGTCACTCCCTGCCCTCAAATCCAGAGGCAACTACTATTCTGATTCTTTTCCCCCACCATAGACTGGATGTTACTGTTTTAGAAAATTATAAAAACAGAATTATACCGTATGATTTATTTTATATCTGGCTTCTTTCACTCAATATAATTTTTGGACATTCACCTATGTTACTGCGTATCAATAGCTGCCTCCTTTTTGTACTGAGTGGTATTGCTTTGTTTAGGCATACCACCATTTATCTTTTCTCCCATTTATGTAAGTTTAGGCTATTTCCAGTTTTGGGCTATTATGAATAAAACCACTATGAACGTCTTGTACAATTCTGTTTGTGGACATGTTTTTATTCCTCTTGGGAAAATATCTAGTCTTGGAATTGCTAGGTCACAGGGTATGAGTGCGTTTAGTTTTTTAAGAACCTGCCACCTCCTTTTCTAAAGTAGATACATCATTTCACACTCCCACCAACAATGTATGAGAGTTCTGACTGTTCCACACATTTGCCAATATTTAGTTATTCATATTTTTAAAATTTTAGCCAATCTGGCAGGTACACAGAATTTTAGTTTATGAATGTACTAAAATGTATTCAACCAAGCCCCTAATGTTGGACATTTAGATTGTTTCCAGTGTTTCTTATTTTAAATGATACTGTGATAAATGCCCTTGCATTAATATCTCTGTAGTGTTCCTTATTTTAATTCATTGGCTAAAACGTACAAGATAATGGCTAAAAAAAAAAAAAGAAAAAGTGGTAACAGTAGGTATCTTTTTCTTGCTCCTGATTTTAATGGGGAGTTTAATTCTAAGGTCAGAAAATAAAGTAACTGAATGTTGACTCTAGTGTCAAACTTTCCAGAAAATATTCTTTAAATGAGCCAAATTCTATTTAAATACGGCAAGAAACCTAAACGCTGCTAGAATGATTTGTGTGTCCTTCTGTATTGTCTCAATTGTATCACCATCCACCCAATATGTCTAAGCTAGAAACCCCAAAGTAATTCCTGTCGTCTCCTTCTTGCTCATCCCCAACATCTAATTGGTTTCAAGTTTCTATTTGCCTCTAGATAGCTCTTCGATCTCTCCTTTCTATTTTCACTGTACTGATAGTATTTTAGCCCCTCAATATCTCCTGCTTGAAATACTTCAATTTAATTTATCCAGCCACAAATGAGATTTCTTTCGATGACACAAATCCAAGCTTAAAAAATAAAAATAAGGTTTTTAATGCCTCAAATATAAAGATCAATCTCCCTGCCATGCCAACAATGATCTTCATGACTTCATGATTCAGGCTCGTTATAGTACAGTATGAGGGAGCGCTGGTGGTGCAGTGGTTAAGTGTTCAGCTAACTGAAAGACTGGTGGTTTGAAAAGTAGCCACTCTGTGGGAGAAAGATGTGGCAGTCTGCTTCCATTAAAATTACAGCCTTAGAAACCCTTTGGGGTGGTTCTACTCTGTCCTACAGGGTCGCTATGAGTCGGAATCAACTTGACAGCAACAGGATAGTGCAATATATTTCTTACTCTTATTCAAAACCAACAATGCTATTTCTCCTCTTCCTAGAATCTGTATCTCTGAGTCCCCTTCCTCCTCCAGATTACCCCCTTTTCTCCCAGGTAAACTCCAATTCATTCTTTCAAACCTAGTTCATATGTTCGCTCTGAAATTCTGTCAAATAATTCCTGGCATTTGTTTACTCCATCCCCTGAGTTTCCTAAGCACCGTTATACATCTGCATTATAACACTGTTTATACTGTACTAAAATCATGTGTTTCTTTCTCCCCCTAGTAGAGCATATGCTTCTTAAGGGCAGAAATAGTTGCCTTACAATGTTTTGTGTCTTTAGCTCCTGAATGAATGCAGGACAACATCTTTAAAGTCTGTGCAAATTAAAGATTCAGTTTACAAGCCAGTCAAAACAGAATTTTTCAGTTCTTCACTGATAAAGTTGCTTCTTAAAGATTAAGATAAAATCAATTCCCTTCTATTTTAATTTATGCAAAATAAAAATAAAAATGCTTTACGATGCTAAACATCTTGCAAAATGAATCACCAAGGTCTTAAAAAATTATCATAAAATATATCATCTTCATTCAATTTCTTGTCTTTATGAAAACAGTAGATGTACACATGACCTCAGAAACGGCTAATACCTTTAAGCAAAAGAGAATCCATTGAAATTCTTTTTGTAACTGATCCATTAAAATTCTATAAAAATGCACACATAATTAACATGTTACAAATAGGAACAAATTTTATCCAATTTAATTACTGAGCAATTACAATGTAATTTTAACAACCAGAGAACATTAAGGGGACCCATAGGGTACACATGCATTTATAACATAAGGATTAAAATAATTTTGATTAAAGTATCTAGTAACTAATAATGAGATATTTAAACATTATAAAAATTGATGAATCTTAAAATGACTTTTTTTCATAGAAGACAAATTATTTGTGTATATACTGATTTTTTTTGAGATTTTTGATATACTTTCTCTTTGGTTCTGTGTCTCAATTTATACTGTTTTATTACAACTACTCTTCACACTCATATGAGAAAAGCTACATGAAAAACACACCAAAGAGTTAACAGTAAATAAGAACTTACTCTATTCCATGATAATGGCATACTGAGGCTTTTTCGAAAGGTAAGACCCGAAGTTTCTTAGGACTAAGTTCTGGTGTTAGAACAAAAGTCTTTTCCCTGAAACAAAAAGGAACCATTTGTATTTAAGTTTTATTTAGTGCCAAAGAGAAATTTCAAGAAAGTGTCAAAGGAAACAAATCTGACTTCCTCTTCTACAATTGAATCTTATATGGGATAAAAAGTTAAGTTACACCAGAAAACCTAAGAAGGAAATGAAGCAAGGTCTGGGCTGGGGGTTTTGTTACTTACATTTCCTGTGCTTCAAGTTTCTGAAGTTACGATGTTAATTATTTCACAAAACTATTTTAAGAAATGGATAAATCAACAATGGAAAATCACTTGTAATGGAAATTCCAGAAGCAGCATTTTTCCTGAAGGATTTTCCCCCTTAGTGGAGTGAGCTAATGTTTATGCGTTTAGTTAAATCTTTTTATTTTTTTTTATTGTACTTCA